TTTTTTTAACGAATGGCCAGAGCCGCCAGCCCCCACGATGCATGGGTGCCGTCTTCCATAGCTGCCCTGCAAGGGGTGGGGGGCAAAATGCCGCAGGGGGAAGGCTTGAATGTACCGAAAGCTCCTCTTCTGGCCCCGTCCCTGCCCCCCAGAGCAGGCAGCGCGGGCAGGGCCAAACCCCTTTCTGGAAGGCTCCCTGGCACGGTGGTGCGTTTGGCATCGGTTCGCGTCCCCGCGCTCGGCGCCCGAACTCTCCTCTCTCCTGTTTTCCCCTCAAGGGGTGCGGCGGCGAGGGGGGGAGACCCCCTGTGCCGGGGAAGGGTTGGGGGCAGGCAGCCCCTTGCCGGGCTGTCGCATAGGAATAGCGGATCTGCTGTTTTTTTCGGCTGTAGTACTGAATAAACGGGAGGGTTTCGAAGGATCGTGCCCCCGTTGGCTTCCACAGCTGGATCCCGGCTCCGGCACGGATCCCTCCCCAGCTCCTGGTGACCCCCCACCCCTGGGGTGGTTTTGGGGTGTCGTGTCCCACCAAGCAGGAGAGAGCAGTGGGGTGCAGGGGCAGACATGCCCCCGGGTTTATTTGGGTCAGTTTGCATAGAGACGAGCTGGCAGCTGAGAGGAGCCAGAGCCGGCACTGCCCCGGCACAGGGGAGCCGGGGACCCCCGCGTCTGCCGCGGGGCCGAGCAGAGGCACCGAGCAGTGCCGCGTCCTTCCGAGGGGCTCGGTGCCACGGCCGGGGGCTCCCCATCGATCCAGGGACACCCCCCCTCACCGCGCAGGGTGGGTGCCCGGCAGGGAGACATTGGTGCCGGGGAGCTGCGGTGCGTGGCTGCGGAGCCCCTCGGCCCCCACTGTGGTGTGGAATGGTGAAGGGGCTGGGCTGGCGCTCGGCGGCTGCTGGAAAAAGTAGAGCTGAAAGGAAAAGAAAAACCATGGCGGGGGGATGTACGGACCCCCCCAGGGATACCCCCCCCAGTTGCCACCAGCGGGTACCTTGCAGCCGACGGCGAGGAGGGTGTGCAGGGAGACGACGGCGGCCACCACGGCCAGCGCGGTTGCCCGGCCATCGGCACGGACCAGCGGCCAGAAGGTGAGGGCCAGCACCGACGCTGAGAGCAGCGCGGCCACGGCCAGCAGCAGCCACTGCAGCCAGGTGGCTGGGATCAGCCACAGGACCTGTGGGGACAGCGGCCTGTCACCCTGACATGTCCCGTCCCCCAAAAGCCAGGGACCTCCCTGCCCCGGGACTCACCGCAGTGGGGATGTAGGCGGAGAGGGAGTAGCCATAGACACAGACGGTCTCCAAGAAGCTGTAGGTGCCGGCCCCGTGGCTCTGCCGCCACCGCAGGAACCCCCACAGCGCCAGCGGCACCAGCCAGGCGTAGCAGTAGATGAGGGTGGCGGCGATGGTGACTGGGGTTGGGGGGGGAGAAAGGAGGGGGTTAGGGCACGGCTGGGGTCCCCATGATGGTCCCAGTGTGGGGCAGGCACCATCTGGAGGTCCAGCCCCCCCCTCCTCGAGCTGCAGGGTCGCTGCTGGCGCCCTCCGGCCCCTCACCGTTGTGGAACTGGGGGCTGTAGTGGTAGGTGGGGGACACTCGCTTCTCCGTCAGGTGGGAGAGGTTCCCGCTGACGGCCAGGGCGAACACCAGCGTGGCGCAGATCCAGAAGGGACCTGAGGACGGGGACACACCATCAGCGAGGAGCCGCGACGGCGGCAGCGCCGGGGGTCGGCAGCGGGGACGTCCGCGGCCGCTTCACTCTCACCGTACAGGTCGGGGTTGTTGCGCAGGCGGTGACGCACAAAATTCTTCCCCGGCAGCGGTGTCACCGAGCCCTTGATCCTCTCCAGCACCTACCGGGGAACGAGGGCGGAACCTCAGCCGGGTTGGCGGACGCCGGTGCCGGCTGCCGCGCCGACGGGCGCCGTTACCTGGTGGGTGTCGACGTCGAAGAAGGCCTGGTAGTACTCGAAGGTCCAGAAGCTGCGCGGCCGCCTCTGCCCACCCAGGAGCTGTGTGGGGGG